TTGGTAATTTAGGTTTTTTTGAAAATCTAACGTCAAATTCGTTTTTCTCGGGTCAAAATACCCCAACATACCGATTTTCGCGCAAATCCATCGACAAATAACCGGTGTGAATTTACGGCCATTTTGAACTTTAACTGGCCGCCATTTTGAAACGGTTTGAGATATTGACTTCGGGTTTGCGCGAGAAGTTTTCTTTTTTTTTGCTCTTTCGAGCGAGCTATCACAAAGGGGGTCTTCTCATTTGAAAATTAAAAGTTGGGGGCCGTTGCCCCCCCAAGGGGGGCCCCCTGAGAATTTTAGGGGGGCCAAAAAGTAGCTCCCTTTGACCTAGAAATATCCCCCAAGTTTGAAATCTTTACCTTAATTAGGTAAAAAGTTAGAGGGGGTGGAAGGGACTTTTGGATCACCCTGTATATCTGTCAAATCGGATGAACAAATGAATTCGATGAAACGATAGAGCCTGTTCCGAATTTAGGTGACTTGACTCGTATGAATGACGGATGTGGCAACATTGCATGAATTTTCCCCCTTGGAATTTCTCGAAATTTTCCGAGGGTGGTCTTGGGAGGCCATACTTACTATAAAATAAGTCAAATCGGATGAACAAATGATATCGACGTAAGGGCAGAGCATGATCCGAATTTACGCGACTTGACTCGTTTGAATGACGGATGTGGCAAAATTGCATGAATTTTCCCCCTTGGAATTTCTCGAAATTTTCCGAGGGTGGTCCTGGGAGGCCATACTTACTACAAAATGAGTCAAATCGGATGAACAAATGATATCGACGTAAGGGCAGAGCATGATCCGAATTTACGCGACTTGACTCGTATGAATGACGGATGTGGCAACATTGCATGCATTTTCTCCCTTAGAATTTCTCGAAATTTTCCGAGGATTCTTACTATAAAATGTGTTAAATCGGATGAACAAATGAAATAAATGGAAGGGCAGAGCCTGCTCCGAATTTACGCGACTTGACTCGTATGAATGACGGATGTGGCAATCTTGCTCCAGATTTTCCCTTTGGAATGTTTCGAAATTTTCCGAGGATGGTCCTGGGAGGCCTTACTTACTTTAAAATGTGTCAAATCGGATGAACAAATGAAATCGGTGAAACGACGGAGCCTTGCTCAGAATTTACGCGGCTCTACTCTCATGGATGCTGAGGCAACTCGGCAACATTGCTGGAGATTTTCCCTTGGATTTTCTCGAAATTCTCTTAAGATGGTTCTTGGAGGCCATATTTAATATAAAATGTGTCAAATCGGATGAACAAATGAAATCGATGAAACGACAGAGCCTGCTCCGAATACACGCGACTTGACTCGTATGAATGACGGATGTGGCATAACATTGCTTGAGATTTTCCCCTAGGAATTTCTCGAAATTTTCCGTGGATGGTCCTGGGAGGCCATACTTATTATAAAATGTGTTAAATCGGATGAACAAATGAAATTGATGAAATGACAGGGTCTGCTCTGATTTACGCGACTCGACTCGCATGGATGATCAATAGATCAATTAATCAATCAATCAATCAATTAATTAATCAATCAATCAATTAATCAATCAATGCTTATTAAAGTTGGTACTGACGAAGCATAAACTCCCCCCTCCCTTCGCTCCCTCACCCCTCATCCC